CATTATCCATTACACCACTCACATATACAATCTTACAGCAACTAGAATTCCCAAGCAGACACCCATCAAGTTACTAACCATGTTTGATGTTGCTTAACTTGAGTGATTGTACAGGTACTGGTGTTTCAGTATGATGTAGCTGTATGCCTCTTACATATGTATAATTCTACCATTCATCCATGCTTCAAATATGGCTGACAAATTTAGTGATTTTTTACGTGATTTTTCGCAATAAATTTTTTGTACAATAACAATTTTCATAACTTGAAAATAAATTTGGGAATAATTGAAATTAATTACAAAATCCAGCAAAAATCACCCATGAAATAAAAATAATTGTTTGTATGGACCTACATAGATCAAACTGACTTTAAATTAAGTAGCAGCAGAAGAATTATCGTTGACTTTTTAAAAGGTAAGCTTAAATATTAATGCAATACTTAAATGCAGCAATTAATTTTGAGTTCTTCTGTAGTTTATTGTTGCCTATTGCATACAGCAACAGTTTGCCTCACAAAAAGAAATCTCCGCCAACAGAGGACCAGATTGCAATCAAAAGAGCCAAGGCTGAAGTGAGGAAAAGAAACTCCCGTGCAAATGAAAACCCAGATCAAATGGTAGCCAGGAGAGCTTCCAATGCTGAAAATATTCAAAGACTTAAGAACTATAAAACTCTTGAACAAGTTGAAGGCCCAATCAAGAGACCTCTGCAGTAGCTAGCTTAATTACCACTGGGTGGCTTTTAAGCTAGTATAGTCCTAAGTTGGACAGGTTTCCTGTTGGATCTTTGGAACTGCAGTGATTCAGTTTGAATATGGATAAGAAACCATAGTGAGGCTGATGAAACTAGAGTAAAAAAAAAAACATCGTACTTCTTAACAGAAATATGATGAGAACAGAATTTCAATCTGGAAATATCTAAAATAAATAAATGTTTTTTTATTAAATCCTCAAAATGGTTTCATTCTTTTTGATACTTGTAAAGTGATTTGTTTCTATTCTCAAATTGAAAAGAAAATCAGCAGAATACGTTCCTAACAACTACTTACCTTTATAGATTGGTTTATTTTGCCTAATGGCATATCAACACCTGAATGGGTTATTTAATGCCAACAATATATTTAGAATAAGGTCGTGTGAATAGAATATCTATTCTTTGTAAGAAATCAGTTTGTAGATCAGGTTTCATTGACATATTTTTGTAAAGAGGGTTTTTGTTGAGAGATAAATGTATTGCTGGTAATATTTTTTTCAAAATGTATTGCTGGTGACACTGTCATCCATTTACTTACCTGCAATCTATCCTATAGGCAATGGTGGCATCCTATTGGTTTACGTGAACTGATTCTTAAAATCATAAAAGCTTTGCAAACCAGTTTTTGGATTATGTGAAAATAGTCTTATATATTAGTAGTTGATATATAATAGCTAAAAATAGAATTAATACCATTGTTGTAAGTTCTGAAGAGGCTGAAAGAGATTTTTCGGTAATGAACATAATTTATTCTAACAAAAGAAATCATCTTGAAATTAAAATGTGGCAAATTTTCCAGTCCTAAATTTTATAGATTTCCTATTGGATCTTTGGGACTGCAGTGATTCATTTTGAATGTGGCTAAAAAAACCTAATGCAGCTGATGACGCTAGAGTAAAAAAAAAGTATCGTACTTCTTAACAGAAATATGATGAGAACAGAATTCTAATATCTAAAATAAATAAATGTTTTCTATTAAATTATCAAAATGGTTTCATTCTTTTTGATACTGTAAAGTGATTTGTTTCCATTCTCAAATTGAAAAGAAATTAAGCAGAATAGGTTCTTAAAGATTACCTGGTTCCTGGAAATTTGGGATGCCATTATTACCCAGATTAATGCATACTTGATAAAATCTGGAAATGAAAATGACCAAATGGTTAAGATAATAAAAACAAAGATAAAGCAATTAGTCCAAATGTAAATAATTATGATTCCTAATCCCAGGAAACCAGAAAGGAAACAATAATCTATCAGATAATATTAAACACAATGTGAATTCATGTATATATTGGTCACACAACTAGAAAAGAGTTCCATAAGTAAGAAGTGTGAGAAAATAAATGCAGATTGTGTGTGTGTCTGTACGTTTATATATTGGATTGGATTTCCTACATTTTTCAACCGATTTCAACAAAACTTCACAGAACTACATAAAATTACCTTGCGGTGGTTCTGACAGCAACAAAAATCGGAAAAACACAATTTTTTTGCACAAAATCAATTTGAAAATACGATTAAGAGTCATCGCGAGAATGAAAGGGGGACAACTCATATCGAGTTATACTTATAAAACCCAGGTTGTTTGTGTGTGTGTGTACGTTTATATATGGGATCGGATTTCCTACATTTTTCAACCAATTTCAACAAAACTTCCCTTTATTTTGGCAGGTAGTGTTTCTTATTGTCTTGCACACTTTTTTCTTTATTTTTACATTCAGAATGCTTTAAAAATTCCATTTACAAGACAATTGTTTATAATAAAATTCTATTCAATCAATAGACTCATAACGATTGAAAACAATGTTTTTGTTTGAGTTTGGGTTTGACCAATTCGTGAAAAAAAAACAAAAAAACAAAAAAAAACTAATTAAGACGTGTGTCCGTCAACCTTAAACAATAATCTTTGTCAATTTTATTTTTCAGTCTTTATGATGGTCGATACTTCATCTATCTCTTACTGTTACATCCCCGGGCAACGCCGGGCTCTACTGCTAGTTACATCTATGTAGTTCAACAGTAAAATGGTGAGAGCAATCTAGTAGTAGACTTAAATTCAAGTAGTCAGGAAAATTGCCAAGAAAATATCTATATAAAAATAAAAGGGAAAGCTATGTCATGAAACTGACTGAAGATGTGGGGACTGAATAATAAATAAAAATGATAACAATAAAAAAATAAAACCAGACAAAAAAAAAAAAAAAACATAAAATAAAATAAATCTAAAAGAAATAACAAGCTTCCAGAAGGCCTTTGGCAGGAAGAACAATCTGAGCATGCTGGGAAAAAGAAGAGATTTTCCTGGCACCAAAAAAAAAAAAAAAACAAGAAGAAAGAACTCACTATCTATCTATATTTCTGAGATAAGGTATTATGTACACTATTTACATCTTTGTTGCCAACAACATTTCAGCCATTGTATGCTCCGGCCTTCTTCAGGTGGTTGGAATGTCGAACTGAACCCTTTATTTCACTCACTGGGGTAGACTGTTCTAGTTCCACATGCCATGTCTAATGGATGTCAGTTATCAGTTTTCTCCTGTTAATTCACCTCTCCAAGTTCTCCACTGCCTTAACCAGGTATTGAACTTACAACTCTTTGGGTCCTGTCACTGGATCTAACCAATGTCCTTATCCACTTAAGGAAAGAACACTGAGTTTGACTAGAAAGGAAGCTATTTTATTGTGTGGAGAGGTCCCCACACTTCAAAACTTAGTTGTGAATAATAAATTCGAGTCTTAATAGCTTCAACCATCTCTTTGTATCTCCTTCCTTTTATTCCATTTCGCTTAACGCAACCAGCCAAAGAAAATAGCACATATTGGGGTTTAAAAGGAAGAAACAACTAACAAATACACCATTAACACCTATAAAGCTAAACTCCATAAATTCAAGATGCTAGTTCAGGACCAATTACATTACAAACACTTCTTTGGATTTTGACAAGAATCTCAAGATATATAGCAGGAACACCAGACCAGATATGGAAGCAATATTCAATACATAGATGAATGGCAAATTTATAAATGTACAAGATGGATTCTGATGAGAAAAGCTTTGGAGGTGGGAAAGTAAAGTCGTGATTCTAGGTGAGGACCAGTAACATTGCATTCTTTGGATTTTGTTGAGAATCTCATAATATATTACAGGAGCACCAAACAAGATATGGCAGCAATATTCAATGCACGGACAAATGGTAGATTCATAAATGTGCAAGATGGATTCTGATGAGAACAATTGTCTGGCACAACACTGAAACAAATTTTCTAACCTTAGACTTTGCAAGTGATTCAGTATAATCTTTCCACTTCATATCAGCAAAAAATATATGCCCAAGAGGTTACAAAGAGTTTCTCACCTGGAGGTTAGCATCAGTCATATCTCATATTACCTTATTAAATCGTGAAACCAGCTTGCTGTCTATTATATCATTACATGAGTTTATTTTAAGTAAAACCAGCTTTGATTAAACCATTTGATTTTTAATTCCATGTTTCTTTCTTTTTTAATCTGACACTGACCTATACTACTTGTAAATTATATTATTCAAAGAATTTTTGCAAGACTGCTTTTATTGTCAGGTCCAAACAAGAAGATATACATCACTTCAGCATATATTTTCTACTGATGTTCTAAAGATTACTCTCTAAGATAAATTCCTACATCTACTTGAGCAATTGTGACCATTTTCTACGTCTGAAATATGAAACTCAGGTGTAATATGATATAGGCTGATGAAAGTCTACCGTTTCAAGACCTGCTCAAATGCCAAAATAGAATGCCAAAAAATATTGAAAACTTTTACTTTCATTGGGCTGGCTTTACGACAATGAGAATAAATGCACTTCTTTTCTATTACATGAGCTTGCCAAGATGTAACACAATTTGCTTCCTGGGATTTTATGAATGAGGGAATTTTGGTAAGCTTGATGCTGAGAAAATTACTCAAGGGGAAATTGTTTGAATTGAAAAATGGTGAATCAGTTCCAGTGATGAATGACTTTATACATGGGAACAGACATGGATCTTGCTGAAGGAAAACAACGGAAATAAATTTTTATTTACTTTGACTATGTGTTTTATCTATTTTTTTAATTATTAATCTCTCTTTTTCTGTTCTCAGTTTTTTTAGTCGCTTTTCTTTTCTTGTTTTAGTCACTATTTTGTTTCTTTCTTTTAGCTTCATTTTTCTTTTCTGTTTTAGTCTCTTTTTATTTTAGTCTCCACTTCTTTTTTTTCTATTAGTCTCCCCTTCTTTTCTGTTTTAGTCTGTTTTTCTTTTACACTCCACTTCTTTCTTTTTACTCTCCCCTTATTTTCTGTTTTAATCTCTTTTTTCTATTAGTCTCCCTTCTTTTCTGTTTTAGTTTCTTCTCCTTTTAGTCTCCACTTCTTTCTTTTTCACTCTCCCCTTTTCTGTTTTAATCTCTTTTTTCTATTAGTCTCCCCTTCTTTTCTGTTTTAATCTCTTTTTCTTTTACTTTCCACTTCTTTCTTTTTCACTCTCCACTTCTTTTCTGTTTTAATCTCTTTTTTCTGTTAGTCTCCCCTTCTTTTCTGTTTTAGTCTGTTTTTCTTTTACTTTCCACTTCTTTCTTTTTCACTCTCCCCTTCTTTTCTGTTTTAATCTCTTTTTTCTATTAGTCTCCACTTCTTTTCTGTTTTAATCTCTTTTTCTTTTACTTTCCACTTCTTTCTTTTTCACTCTCCCCTTCTTTTCTGTTTTAGTCTCTTTTTTCTATTAGTTTCCCCTTCTTTTCTGTTTTAATCTCTTTTTTTTTTTTACTTTCCACTTCTTTCTTTTTTTTCACTCTCCCCTTCTTTTCTGTTTTAGTCTCTTTTTTCTATTAGTCTCCCTTCTTTTCTGTTTTAATCTCTTTTTCTTTTACTTTCCACTTCTTTCTTTTCACTCTCCCTTCTTTTCTGTTTTAGTCTCTTTTTTTCTATTAGTTTCCCTTCTTTTCTGTTTTAATCTCTTTTCTTTTTACTTTCCACTTCTTTCTTTTTCACTCTCCCCTTCTTTTCTGTTTTAGTCTCTTTTTTCTATTAGTTTCCCCTTCTTTTCTGTTTTAATCTCTTTTTCTTTTACTTTCCACTTCTTTCTTTTTCACTCTCCCCTTCTTTTCTGTTTTAGTCTCTTTTTTCTATTAGTCTCCCCTTCTTTTCTGTTTTAATCTCTTTTTCTTTTACTTTCCACTTCTTTCTTTTTCACTCTCCCCTTCTTTTCTGTTTTAATCTCTTTTTCTTTTACTTTCCACTTCTTTCTTTTCACTCTCCCTTCTTTTCTGTTTTAGTCTCTTTTTTCTATTAGTTTCCCCTTCTTTTCTGTTTTAATCTCTTTTTCTTTTTTACTTTCCACTTCTTTCTTTTTCACTCTCCCCTTCTTTTCTGTTTTAGTCTCTTTTTTCTATTAGTCTCCCCTTCTTTTCTGTTTTAATCTCTTTTTCTTTTACTTTCCACTTCTTTCTTTTTCACTCTCCCCTTCTTTTCTGTTTTAGTCTCTTTTTTCTATTAGTCTCCCCTTCTTTTCTGTTTTAATCTCTTTTTCTTTTACTTTCCACTTCTTTCTTTTTCACTCTCCCCTTCTTTTCTGTTTTAGTCTCTTTTTTCTATTAGTCTCCACTTCTTTCTTTTTTACTTTCCCCTTCTTTTCTGTTTTAGTTTCCATTTTTCATTTTCTTTTTTTGCCTTTTCTTCTTTTATTTCAAAGTTTTAGCTTTCTTTTTCTTTTAGTCTCATTTTCTTTTCTTTTTCTATTCTTCTTTCTTATTTTCTATGTCTTCACTTCTTTTCTTTTTTTTTTACTTGCCTTCTTTTTTTTAATCTCCTTTCTTTTTTTTAGTCACCTCTTCTTTTCATTTTTTTCCCAAATAATCATATGTCACAAAGAGCTACTTGAAATACTAGAAAAGCTATGGGAAAGCTATGTCAGTAATCTGTAAATTTTACTGAGAACAAATGACCTATATGCGAACAGAGAACATGTTCAAGGAATCTGCAAAAATAGGAAGAAAAGTAAATCAAGGGATTCTTTTTCTCTCTGGATTTATTTAATCAACACAGTTAATCCTAAGAGAACTAGCAGACCTACAAGGATTTATCATTACAAGACATAATATTAACAAGTAGGTATAGAGATTTAACTATCTTGGTAGTGTAACAACAGATAACAGAAAATATGGTAAAGTTTCTAAATGTGCATAGGAATAGCAGAAGAGACTTTCAGAAACAAAGCAAAGTATTAAGACATGGGAAATATCCTTAGAAACAAACAAAAAACTACTGAACTAATATGTAATGTTTAATTTCCTGCAGATAATTTACTGCTCGATAATTTTCCCATTAATGAGAAGAGACTTGGAATGAGAAAGATGTGGTTCAACCAATGAATAATGACATTACCATTGGCCAATTGAGGAAGCAGTGTAGCTTAGCAAGGATTATTCAGTTTAGAATACATTAATACAAAAATAAATAGTATTTATAGTGGTTTAGACTGATAGAGTTCTAATAGTCAAGGGAGTTAATCTCATTCAAGTGAACTTACCTTCATCACTTACCATAGGATACATAATGAGGAAAGCGAGTCTGGAGAATTTGAGACTCACAAGTCACTGAATTCGAGAAAAGCAGGGGGTAATTAACAAGTTGGCATTTCAAGAACAAAGTGGAATAGTAAAGGGTCAAAATTACAGACAGCAACAAAAGTGAGGAAGACTTGGAGACACATGGTCATCCCATCATTAAGAAACATATTTCTTTATTGAGTTCAGCACAAGAGCCACTCAAGGTAGAGGGTTATATCTGTAGGAACAGAGCAGCATGGTAGAAAATATGTCTATCCCGGCAAGGCTATGTAAATGGTGTTAGAGCTGAAAAGTGAACTGAGTATCCCCAGCCCAAACATGGCAGCAAGACTCCATATTTGATTTCATCTGAGTCTTGTAAAGATGAAGCATAGCAGAAGGAGTCAGGTATTTTTGTGGAGGAGTGGTATGAGTTGACCATTTTTCCAGCATCTTTGTCAATGGATTACTATATGGAAATTGAAATTGAGCCCTAATAAACATTCAAAGCATGGAAAAGTGGATTGAGCATCTCCAGCCCAAACATGGCAACAAGACTCCATTTTTAGTTGAATCTGACTCTTGTAAAGATAATGCATAGCAGAAGGAGTCAGGTACTTTGTGAAGGAGTGGTATGAGTTGACCATTTTTCAAGCATCTTTAATAATAGATCAATATATGGAAATTGAAATTGAACACTAATAAACATTCAAATTATGGAAAAGTTGATTGAGTCTCTCCAGCCCAAACATGGCAGGAAGACTCCATTCTTTGTTGATTCTGACTCTTGTAAAGATAAAGATGAATCTTGTTAAAATAAAGCCTAACAGAATGAGTCAGGTACTTCCTAGCAGAATTGAATGATCCTACCATTTTTGTCACATATTTAGCAATGACAGATGAAAGATGAAATTAATTTATTTTAATTATTTGAAGAATTTATTGTATTTCTTCATTTTACCTTTTTTTCCTATCCCTTCTTTTTTCCTTTCATTCTAGATGATTTGATTTTCTTTCATGAGATCTCTCTCCTTTTTCTTTTCTTTCTTCTTTTTCTCTCCATCTTTTATTCTTACTTCTCCTTTCTTTTCTTCATTTTCCATTTATTGTTTTATAGATTACACAAGTAAATATTGAATAAATTATGGCACTAGGACCAATTTGAAATGCTAGGGAAATTAGATCTAATTGCTAAAAATGTTTAAATAAACCAGAAGCAAACTGTCTGCGTATGGATAGAAAATGAATTGAGTAGCAACACTGAAATAAAATGGTTAAGTCCTAGATTTAAAGATATGAACTTGCGGAAATAAAGTGTGTTGCTCATATAAACATTTGCCATGGATATAGCACTATAGTAATGATATGCTTGCATCCTTTCATTCTGTGGGAAAGAGTCTACCAGATGGAAAATCAATCATCTCCAAGATGGTGTAAACAATTTTAATTTCCGTCATGGCTGAAAATTGAAGATCGAGCAGCTCCAGCCCAGTAAGATAGCAAAGCTCTATTTTTTATCTAATATGACTCTTGTCAAGATAAAATATAGCATAAGGAGTCAGGTACTTCGTGAAGCAATGGAATGAGTCGACCATTTTTCTAGCATCGTTAGTAATGGTAGATAAAAGAAATTAATTTTTTTTAGATATTTTAAGAATTTCTTTTCTTTTTTCTTTTTACCTTTAATTCCTATCTCTTCTTTTTTCTTTCTAGTTGCTTTGTTTTTCTTTCATGAGATCTCTTTTCATTTTACTTCTTCATCTTTTATTCTTTCTTTGTTTTTTTTCTCCTTTTTTTTTCTTCATTTTTCTCACATTTCTTCTCTTTTTCCACTTTTCATCCTATTTTTCTTCTATTTTTCTTTCCCCACCAGTTTTTAACTTCTTTTTAATTGCATTCAATTTGCCTTCATTTTCTAATTTTCTGTCTTCTCACATTCCTTTTCTCTTTCTTTTTTTAAAGAAAATAAATCCTTCCTTTATTTCTTTCTTATCCTTTTTTCTTCCCATTAATCTTTATTCATGCTTTTTAAAAACAGCTTTTCTGTCTTAATTTTTAGTCAACCCACTATAAAAAAAAAAAAATCTCTCACAGTAATTTCTCCACTCAGCATCCAAATTTTATTCCAAAAATCAACCATGACAATTTTTGTTTAAATTTTTCATTTCTCATTTTTTTTTTCATTTCTCCTTCCATTTGGAAAAAAAAATTATCGCAGAACATCTTTAATGGAGCCCATTCTTTCCATCCACAATGACATCATGCTTATCTGGGTTCAAGAAATTTTCTTTCACCTGTCTTTTTTTTTTTAAGACATAGGATCCGATAGTGTGAAAGTTTTTTTTTTCTTTTTTTGTATTTTCCTCTCATTATTTCTCAATGCAAACATTTTATTATTGCTTTTAATTTTTCTTTAATATTTACATTGTTTGAATGTATGTCTATGTCATGTGACTGCATTCTTCTTCTTCTGTGTGCTGTGTTTTTTTAGGAAGTAGGCAATGATGGTTCTCCACAACTTCCTGTCCTTTCATGCTCTTAGTAAAGTGTGTCTTTTTGCTATCACTCCTAAACCCTGTTCTACCAACCATTCACACAAGCTCACTGCTTTTGTCTATCACTCTACCCTTTAACATGTGAGTATCAAATTTTCCAAGCCCTCTTTCTTCATGATGTACCCTAGAAATTTCAATTGTTTATTTTTGATTGTAAGTATAAAGATTCTATTTTCCCATAAAACTTCATCATTGCTCACATGTTCAATCCATGGAGTTCTTGGTGTCCTTCTGTGGAGCTGCATATCTGTTGACTTAAGTATCTTCTTAATTTGTGAGAAGATTGTCTAGCATTCACTGCCATGTGAGAGGATTGATATTACATAACAGTTTACAACCCTATTCTTTGTTTCAAATGAAATTTTCTTGTTTTTTTAATACTTTACTTTAATCAATGCCTGTTTTACCGTTGAAGTGCTCATGGCCATAACTGAATCTGTATACTAAACACTTGACAATAATGGAGAAACTTGAGCTGTGGCTCTAAAGCATTTGATAGGGTTTAGCATACTCCTCTTCTTTGTAAGCTTCAGAGATACGGCATCACAGGATGATTATTTGACTTAATACATTCATTCCTGTCAGACCATGAAATGAAGGATCGTCCTAAACAGGTTCTCCTCCAGTTTCTTTCATGCAAACGCTGGTGTTCCCCAAGGCTCTATCCTGGGTCCTACACTGTTTCTGATCTTCATCAACCATCTTTCTGATGTCATCTGTTCCTAAGTAGGCATCTATGCGAACACTACTATTTACTCCTGCCTCAATAGTAAATCCGGCACAGCTGACAAAATTAACCTGGCCGTTGGTCTCAAAAAGGACCTCCAATCTGTTGTTTACTGGGGCAGGAAATGACTTGTAAAATTTAATGCCTCTGAAACAAAACTGCTCTCATTAACCCACCATAAAGAATCCTCCCTGCCTCCCATTGGAATGGCTGATGTCCAACTCCGTGAGAGCACTTTTCTGCACCTGCTTAGTCTCACACTTTCCACTGACCTGAGGTGGAACAATTATATTGAATCAATAGCTTTATCTACTGCAACGAAAGTTGGTTCTCTGTGTCGCACCAGAAGGTTTTACTCATCTGAGTCCATCCTTTAAATCTACAAATCAACCATTTGTCTTTGCGTGGAATACTGCTGCCATATATGGTCTGGTACCCCTACTATTCATCTTGAAGTCCTCAACAAAATCCAGAGATGGATATTCAACATGATTAGTCCTGATCTAGCATCTCATTTACAGTCACTTTCTCACAGATGTACTGTGGCTTCCCTCTATCTTTTCTACAAGTATTTTCATGCCAACTGCTCTGACAAGTAAGTTCCACTGGTTCCCAAACTGCATGAATTTAAGCGTTCTACTAGGTTGGCATCTCAGTCCCACCCTTTCACTGTCAAAACGGTTAAATGTAGCCATCTCTTCTACTCCAACAGCTTCTTATCTTGCACTTCCCATCAGTGGAATTTCCTTCCTCTTACTTGCTTCCCTTATAGCTATAATCTTCAAATATTCAAATATAATGTCAATCAATATCTGATGCCTTGATACTTGCCATTCTCCATATCCTTTCCTCAAACAGCCCACTTTACACTCTGTAAGCACTTGTATGCTAGTAACATGCCCACCTTGGGGGATGATATATATATATATATATATATATATATATATATATATATATATATATATATGTATAAGGAATAGGTTATAGCTGTTCCAACAAGAGTAAAGTGTATATTTTAAAAAAAAAAGAGAAACCACGAATGTTTTTGGTTATAATGTGAATTTTTATATATATATATATATATATATATATAGTATATTTTATTTTCCATATTTATATTATACTTTTATTTTCCAAAACATTTGCAGCTTCTCTCTTATATATATATATATATTTATGTATATATATATATATATATATATATATATATATATATATATATATATATATATATATATTATTTTAGGATATTACATCAAAAAACATGTCAAAATTACTCCCACAATTGCAGAGGCGTTTTGATACATATCAATGCATATCATCAGGTGATTGTAAATTACGCTAATATCTATCTATCTATCTATCTATCTATATATATATATATATACCTTTAATGAAAAAAAAAAACACCACTTTAAGGTTCCATTATAATAATTTATTTCACCAGAGCCCTTTTAAGGGACCCTGGATCATCAGATAAAACTTCCAAATATATTTACATATATATATATATATATATATATATATATATATATATATATATATATATATATATATTATTTATATATATATATACATGATATTTATTGAAAAGCGCTCAATATCAGTGATAGAGCTAACTTATTTAGTTGCGTTGATGTGAGTTTGTGACCCCAGGTTTCACACGCTTTGTGATCATCAGACAAACTGATTAATTTTGAAATTTAGGAGTTGTTTATGGTTGTTTAATGGTAGTGGGAGGAAAAATTCTTCTCTGCATCCTCTTCAGGTCACCACGCAGATCTACACATTCAAACATTGCAGCTAACACAAACATATACATATATATCTGTGTATATATATATATATATATATATATATATATATATATATGAACAGTGTGGGACTGGGCATATATATACACATCCATGCATCATTGCATGCATATGTACGCAATTAGCTGCTATACTGGTGTTGGAATTGTGTAGCAAATTCTCTTCTCAAATGGCAGGCTGGGGGGGGGGTGCAAAGTTGGTGTCAACTTTTAGATCATTCATCTATTTTATTCATAGAATAATGCTTTCTCATATACACATATGCGTATGCACATGCATATACATGCCTTCTATCTGTCTGGGTTTTTTTTGCATTACTTTTTTGCAGGGTCACAAACTCACATCAGTCCAACTAAATATGCATACATACATATATATATATATATATATATATATTTTACATACAAAGAAATAATCACACATAGAATCAATCAGAAGTATTAATGCGATTATTGGCGACATCCATCGCTATCTATCTAATTTTGAAAAACTTAGCATTGTGTCTTTGCACGTTCTGAGATCTTACACAACCGTCAATAATAGCAGATATTCAAAAACATCTTCGGTCGACATACAGGTATATCGTCTCAAGTTTTTGATTTTATAAGGAAAAAAAAACACATGCCTGATGATGAATAGAAGACTATTCGTAAAGTACTAGCATTTTTTAACATCAAATAAACTGAAAACTACAGACAACAAGTTTATCGATGAGGATCAACTCAAGACTATGGATGAACAGTATTTTAATGCATATATTATGTTTTTCTAGCGATGGATGTCGCCAATAATCGCATTAATACTTCTGATTGATTCTATGTGTGATTATTTCTTTGTATGTAAATTATATGCTGCCTAATGTTTTATGTTTATATATATATTTGTGTATTTAGGCAGCAATCCTTCTTTCATGCACATTTCATTGAAAACGACAGATAAGGTGCTTTTATTTAGTTTTTTATGCAATTTCTCATGTGATTTATTCCTATCTATTTCTTGTTAACAATTAATATACTTCAACCTAGAAAATGGCTAAATGTTTCGCTGAAATTGTTCAGAAAAAAAGAACAATTGGAGAGTTTGTATACAACTATAAAAAAAACAATTATTAGTTTGTATAAAAATTTTACTAAGAAAACACACATACATACATACAAACATATATATATATATATATATATATATATATATATATATATATATATATATTTGTGTATTTAGGCAGCAATCCTTCTTTCATGCACATTTCATTGTAAATGACAGAAAAGGTGCTTTTATTTAGTTTTTTTATACAATTTCTCATGCAATCTAATAATTTTTTCTTGTCAGATGATAAATTATATAAAAACTGTCCAATTGTTCTTTTTATCCGAGCGCTTTCGGCTATACATTTAGCCATTTTCAAGGATTATATTTTAAATGTTAAAATAAGAAATAGTTTGTTGTATGTATGTTTTATAAAATGTTTCCATAAAGTGTTTCAAAACACGGCCAAGATATTATGTCCATGTTCAAAGTTAATATTATTAAGTGTTGTTTTTTTGCTTTTATTAATAAGGCTTCCATTATTTTTAGCCTTTTTTTGCATGTAGATGATGCTATTATATTAGTGTTGTCAACAATTATGTTACAAATAGTGTCCGGTAGGTCTCCATGAATATTTAAATGAGATCTAATTGAGCTATGGTCAGAAAGGTGTAGAGTGAGTCTGCATGTCAAACATGTTGTAGTGTGGCCTATATAATTATTTACGAATTTTGATTGATCAGGAATACAATTATATTTGCCCTATTTAATTTTGTTCTAGGAGGTGAATTATTATTTTTAACTATAAGGTAAGAGGTTTTAAATTTAGATATATATATATAAAATCAAAATCAACTATGGAATCTCTACAAATATCCTTAAATGTCTATAATTGGTAACAGAAGCCATTGGTTTATACCAATGGCTTCC